CCAGCACTAACCAATCGTTCTTTCCCTGCCTTTGAGTTCAAAGAGAGCCCCGCCTCTCCGCTCTGTATCTCTTTCCCTCTCTGTGGTCTGTTGCTCAAAGCCAGCCAGCCAGGTTTGTTCCACTGTAAGTAAAGAAACATGTTTTATGCTTCCTGCTGTTCATGTCCCAGAGCGAGATATTGAGACTGTAAGTGCCAGTGGATGAGGGGGAAGAAGAAAACAATAAGAGAGGTGGCCTACAATGGGGAAAACTTGAAGCTGTTCTGCTAATGGAGTTTAACCCAGGTTCAAAACTCTGCAACGTGATCGTGGAGGGGGCGTTTCCTAGGGGGAAGACTGAATCTTGCCCCTCGGCCCCCACCTGGAGGTCTCCTCCCAGGTCCTCTTGAGCCGGTGCAAGGGCGTGGACTGTAGGGCGGAGATGACGGCGTAGAGCGAAGAGAAATTTCGGAGGCAGAAGCATGCCTGGAGGGACACGAGGAAGCAGAGGAGATGACGACTCTGGAGCCTCTCCCCCACGGCAGGAGAGTTGGGGGGGGGACTCAAGGGAACCCTCCACCCGAGGAGACCCACTCACCTCAGCCACCCGGATCCACTTCTCCAGGAGCCGAGCCCGCTGGGCGGCCCGTAGCCCGGTGTCCCCGAGGCAGGAGGAGACCACGGCCTTGGCCACCAGGTTGAACTGGGCCACCGTGGCCCGAACGGTCGGGCAGGCCCTCTCGTGGCCCTTCCTGTCCCGCTTGGACCACAGGGAGCCCACGCACTCCTGGGGGACGAGGCGCAGGAAGAGCTCCTGGGGGGGGGGGAACGGAAGGGGAGAGAAAGGCGGTGAGAAAGACAGAGGCCCAGATCCATTCCTGCCTCGTGCCACCCCCCACCAGGGAACCCCACCCTCCAAAATGACAGATGGGCTTCCACGCCAGCAGGACAGCAGGGCCCGTGATCCTGGGTGCAAGCATCTGAAGAAATACACCTTTCTTTCAAAAACAAAGCAAAAACGGGTCTAGGTTTCTAGCCCTCATGGCTGTGGCAAGATGCCACAAAATTTCTTTTACCCTACTGGCCATCGATGTTTATTTCATTTTTAAATGACAATTTTTCAGACTTTATCCTCCTGATGCCGGGGGAATCAGGAACAGTTAGGAGGACTTGTGGGGAAGAGCTGTCAAAACAAAACTCTCGTTTTTCAGGAATATTTGGTGGGATTCCCTCGGGATAAAAACAAGGCAAGCAAAATAAACTTCCCGATATCTCTAAGAATGCCCCTGATTGTAATGTCAAACATCCTACTTCCAGCAATTTTGCTAACTTTTCAACACGGCACAAATTTTCCTGGCCCCAAAAGGAATCTGCTAGTTTTCACTGGTTCAGAACCTGGCCAAGATTTGGAAGAGATATAAAATATAGAGGCCCTACAGCTGATCGCTTTGAATTTGTTCAGCTGAGAGAAAGCCAGAGAAAACTCAAGACATAATCAGCTCCCAGCTTCCACGCTGTTTGTTTTTCAAATCAAAGATAAATAGAATTCAGATAACATGAAAAAGATTTTTCTCCTGGTGGAGTCCATGTATTTACGCAGTTATTTGTGTATATTTTCCAGACCTTGAAAGGCTGGTTTCTAAAAAAGCAACCTTTCTCCATTAAAGTATTTTAAAGCAGTTCGTTGTTGTTATTACTGATTGGAAAGTTTTAAAAGTCACTTATGTTACGTTTTAAAAATTACTGTATGCTCCATTTTAAAAAAAAAAACCTAGGACTCATAAGAGGGTGGCCTAAATATATCTAAATTTACCCTTAAAACTTAATTTTGAATAAAAATAATTGCATGCGGTCAAATCAGTTCTGTCTTATGGGGATCCTTTTCCAGGGTTTCCCAGGTAGAGAATACTGTACTGTATATAGAAGTGGTTTTACCTTTCCCTTCCTCTAGGGCCGCTGTGGGGCTGCGCAGCTGGCCCAAGGCCACCCAGGCTGGCTCTTCTTTCCCTGGAGGCAATGTGGGGGATTCAAACTCCCAACCTCTATACCTAAACCACTGAGCTTTAAAAGACAGCTAGAACATATTACCAGTTCCTCAGATAAAGTACAGTGGTGCCCCGCATAGCGACGTTAATCCGTTCCGGATTAATCATCGCTATCCAGAAACATCGTTATACGGATATGAAAACCCATTGAGTGAAGATCCTCCATAGCACTGCCATTTTCGCCGCCTCGGTAAGCGAGGGCAGCATGCGAAAATGCTTGCGGCGGCCATTTTGGAACCATCGATCAGCTGTTCTAAAAACATCGCAATGCGCAGATCGACGATCGGTAAGCGAAACGCTTACTGATCATCGCAATGCGATGTTTTCCCTATCTAAACATTGCAATGCGATCACATTAGTGATCACAAAAAATAGATCGCTATGCAGATTCGTTGTTAAATGGTGCGCTCGTTATGCGAGGCACCACTGTACTGTACATTCTTCATTCTCATGCATTGCACCACGGCACAGCTTAAACTATCCATTCTACCACCTCATCTTACATGTTTTCATGCTGTCTTTTGCTTGGTTTTTCTCTCTTTTTTAGCTTAAGTTGGGTGATATGTTTAATTTTATTTTTGTCCCCTTATGTCATGGATCCATTTAAAGTGTCGTTGGTGGTCTTTATAACCTTGTAAACTGCTCAGAGTGGCCTCAACAGATGGACAGTGTAGAAAATGAATGAATAAATGAATAGATAGATAAAATAGATAGATTAAATTAAATTAAAACAACTCTGTTCCACTCTGATCACAGCCCCTTTCCTTCCCAACTCTGCCTCCCTCCCACCCGACCCCATTTGGACTCACGGCGTCTTTCGCAGTCAGGTGAGCCGCCACGTCCTCTGCCTGCAGCCCCAGGATGTAGTGGGGGTCGGGGTCTCTCTCCGGGGCATCGTCCCCGACACCCTCGCCTTCCACCGGGTCCTCCTGAGCCCTCCCAGGGGCTCCTTTTCTTGCCGGGGCCGTGAGGGTCTTCTCGCACTCCGACCCGGCCCCCAGGACCCAACGCAGCCGGGAGATCAGCTGCTCCCGCAGGCCAGCTTCCAGCCCTATAAAGTCCTCCGGGTAGCCATCCAGCCAGGAGCAAAGCAAGGCGCTCAGGGCCCTGCAGAAGATTTGGGGGAGAAGGATGCTACCGCTCAAAAAGTGGCAGGGAGTTCCACAGGGTCACAGATCGTGCAGGGTGCGAAAAGACATTTTTTGTGCCTCTCCTATAGCAGCTCTAGAGAACTGCAAAATATGGGGGGGGGCTGGCTTCCCACTGTGATAAAAACAGATTTGGACCAAAGAGAACCTTGGGCCTGATCCAACCTCTTGGATCTGCTGGTTTCCTTAAGCCAGATATACCTCTTCCAAGGCACTCTCTCCAGGCTGGACAGGATTTGGCCCCCCTCTGCTGTCCTTCCTGTTTCCCACTTTTTCTCTATGCGAACATAAACCAAACCTTGTCATTCCTCCTCATTCCAGACTTTTCATGATTTTCCTACCCCTTTTTCTTCCTTTCTCGGTATGATTTTCTTCCTGTCTAACAACCTCTCCATTCCAGCGTTCTCTCGTTGGGAGGCAAAAGACACCCCCCCCTCCCCACAATTGGAGGGCACCGGCTTGGGAAAGCGGCCTTAACCATTCACCAAACAGCTTCCGGGAACACACTGAGCCTCTGAGCATGTGAAGAGTGCCGCCCCTTCCTGTCGTTGCCACAGTCACAACCTGGAGGGCACACCGCGGAGCTCCCCCCGGCGGGGGGGGGGGGGGGGAGGAGGAGAGTCAGCCCCACAGGCCAAAGGGCCAAGCAGACCAGCCGCTCCGTTTGCAAAAGAGGGGCCCGATCTGTGCTGTCTGCAGAGAAGACACGCACACCCATTGTCCACGATTTGCCCCAGGCCAAAATCTGGAGGGAGCAGCTATACCACAGGGGGTGGGGGGTGGAGCCCTTGGTGGGAGAGACCGTCTCTGGGGACTCCCTTGTGCTAGGCAGCGGGGGGGGGCACGTACCTCAGTGCCCACACCGGCTTCCAACACACACACACACACACACACCAGTGCAAATCTGAGCCCTGTGTCAACCTCGCATCCCAGCCGGCCAGCAGCTGGAGCATCACCCGCCAGTCACCCCTCGGGGACATTTTAACGAGGCCCTCCTCCTCATCACGAGGGTGTCTCTATTTCACCTTAAGAACACAACAGGAGGGAGCCAGTCTATCGGGCCAAAAAAAGAGAGGGTCTTTCTTAGAACCCCCCCCCCGGCTCGTCTCCAACAGTGGGCAGAGGCAGGCGGATGAGGGCAACCCACCAAGAAGAATCAAAACAGAAGGAGCTTCCAGATCTCTCCCCCCCCCCGACCACCACCATCATCTATGATCAAGGTACCCCCTATTATTTGGGGAGGGGGAAGATACTTCCATGGACTACTGATCCCACAAACCCCCAGCTGGCGTGGCCACAGAAAAGGGACTTGTCAGCCCCCCCCCAAAAGGAACTTTTCTAAGCTTCCTCGCTCCTCCTTATTGCTATTCCGGACAACCATCGCACAGAGAAACACTGGTGAGTGTTTATGTGTGTGTGGGGGGGAATTGAGGGGCAGTTTTGCCTCCATTCACCTTGTGCTCTCCCCCCCCGAACTCTCTAATGCTGGGGGGGGCGGCTTAAGGATGTCCCGAGCCCCCAGCCTGAGAGATGGGGAGAGGTGGCCAAATGTTATCAGGAAAGCCAAAAAACAAACAAAAAACCTGACTGAGCCAAGAACTTAAGGCTCGGAGCAACTGTTCCCCTGAGCCTGCAAAGAGTGCATTCAGCATCAGCCAACTTAAAAGCAGAACAGCAAAAACAAAACCCCACAACCTTTCCCTGTCACAACCAAAGGCAAAGAGGAAAGCCTTTTCAGGAAAGGATGATTTGAACCCCCTCCCCACAAGCACCTCTTGTGCATACCCTGCACAAAGTGAACGGCGGCAGGAGTAAGACTATGTGGGGGGGGGGCTTAACTGGGCCCTGGGAGGGCCTCAAGGCGGGGGGGGTACTTACCGCTGCAATTCGGCTGTTTTGGGGCTGACGTCTGAGCCTGGCCCGGCCACTTCCTGTAGCCTTGGGAGGGAGGAAGAATATTAAAGAGGGCCCATGTAGAACCAAAGACAGAAAAAGAAAAGGGAAAAAACCCAACCTTCTCCCCCACCCATTCCTCCAATCATGTCACAGGCACCCGTTCAACAGGTGAAGCTTCCGTCCTCGAGCAGAGAGCCCTGGATTTGCACCCTTTTGCCCAACGGCCCAGACGGAAGCCTTTGGAACTGAACTGCCTTGGCCCAGCCTCGCCTGTTGAACCTCTGCCTGCCAAGCCCAAACATGGGCCAAAAGACAGGGGCATGGTGGGGAGGAACACAGCGGGCAACCGCATCGGCCTCTTCTCACCCAGGAGCCCAGGTGTGCCCACCTTTGCCCTCCCACCCACGCCGGGGAGACACACACCCTCCCGGAGGGCCCACCTTTCCAGCAGGAGCTGCACCACCTCACGGACGGTGGCAAAGGTCCGGAAGGTCGCCAAGAAGGCCGGGACGTAGCAGGTGTCGCCGAGGGCGGGGGCTTCCAGCAGGTGCCCGACCAGCCGAGGGAGGGTGCCAGCCTTCAGGGACCTCGTCTGCCCGGCCGCAGTTGGGGAACCGGACACCGAGGAGGAGGAGGAGGCCGAGGGGTGACCTGAAACGGCCTCCTGCTCCGCCTGGCCCTGGGGACAAGGAAAGGAGAGGAAGGGGTGAGATCAACAAAGACGGGCGCGAGGGAGGGAGACACACGCCGATCCTGGTACGCAAGCACCCACATGCACACTCTGTGGCACCCCTTCCGTGGCACTGCCTTAGAGCCACCTTTTCAAGGGAAGGGAGAGGTCTAAGGTGTGGTTTTTTCTCCCTTCGACAACCCTCCATAAGTTTCCGTGGCTGAGTGGGGAATTCGAACCCAGGGCTCTGGTTTCCTCTCGTCTGTCCCTCGATCCTCGTGGAGGGCTCGGAGAAGTGTTTCTTCTGGACTAGGAGCTGGTTCGGGGGTTCTGGGACCTGTAGTCCGGGATGAAGAAGGGAACTCTCCAGTCAGCCATGCCCCCCCCATAAAAAACCATGCACAGGGATTACAAACAGTCCATACTTACCCTGGAGCCCCCGCTGCCTCTGGTGCCCCCTGGGGAACGGGAACTCACAGTGTAGATGACACCCTCGCCGGTCTCTTCCCAGAGCGTGACAGGGGCCTGGATGGCGGGGTTCGGGGGTCAATGGGTGGGTGAGAGCAAAATGGAGACCTTTTTTTGAAGCAGAGCAGAATTCGTCCTCAAGGCCCTGGAAAAAATGGCCCCCACCTTCTCGTTCCTGATCAACCTTCCGCCCCACCCACCCCAGTTGCAAAACCCCGTTAAGCCTTACCTTAACAGGCAGGCAGTACCAGCGGGTCCGGGTGAGCAGCACCCCGTCCCCAGAGCCCCCTGCCTCCAGGCAGCCCCCCAGGCGGAAGAACACCTTCATGGGGAGAGCCCCCCCCGGCTGCAAAGCCCCTCCTCAGCAGGGCCCCCCGCCCAATTTGCACCCGGATCCAGCCTTCTAGGCAGGGAAGAAGGGCTGGCGGGGGGGAGAACAACCTTGACCCGCCCCTCCCCGGGTGCAAAGCAAGCATGGAAAGTCAGGCTCAGGTGGGGAGCCCGAGGGGGAGTCTGGGGGGGGCGCAGGTGTGGGGCAGGCCAGGCCCGGGACTCCCTCGCCCCCTTTCTCTCCTGGCTGCTGCTCGGCTCCCCGCTTTCTCCCTCTTCCTGGCTCCTCTTCCGCTTTGCCCGTTTGCGCTCTGCCTTCTCCCCGCCCCGCAGGACTTCCCCAAAAACTGGCCCAGCCGGATTCCAGCACCCCGGCCTCCCCCCCCACACCGTCTCTCCCCTATACACACACACACACACACACACACACACAATGGAGCAGCAGTTCGGTGTCTCAGTGGTTGTGAATTCTCGGCGACCAGACACTCGGCCGCTGGCTGGGAGCCAAAAGGTTGACCCCGGAAAGGGCAGAAGCCCAAGATGACACCCTTGGTGTGCGGGCCAGCTCGGCCCAGACGGGACCCACGGGGCAGCGGGGCCAAAGGTGATCCTGCGCCAGGAGGGCTGGTCACCCGGGCAACACAAGGGCCCAAGGCAGTAAACAAAGCCCGCCCGTACAACATGTTTCTGCAGAGCGGAAAATTCAACCCGTTCTCTCTCATTCACACACAGAGATAGATACCGTCCTGGTCTCTCACTGCACCCCTCAGGGAGGGCGCACACTTCTATTCCCCTATGAATACACACCCCAGGGGAGGGAGAGAGAGAGAGAAGCCCCCAAAAGGGGCTGGGGAAGGGGGCCTAAGAGCCAGCGTGCTGTAGTGGGCAGAGTGATGGACTTAGGACTCAGGAGATCTGGGTTCGAATTCCGGCTCAGCCAAGGGAACTCACTAGCAAGTGGTACAACCACTCCTCGAATGCCCCCCCCCACTTCCTTTAAACACCCAATTAGGGTCACCCGGTTGGATGCAACTCAGAAACACACCACACAGAGACCCGAACACTGCAGAGCATGGGTTTCTGAAGGCACGCACAACACAGACACGCACAGAGAGAGAGAGAGATGCCACACCTTGCATGAGAGGCCTGCCCCCCCTCCTTCCCGGTGCAACTCACCTGTTCAGGAGCAAGGGGTCCACACTCCCCATCGGGGGTCCGGCTGCGGAAAGCACTGAGGGTCACCCCTGGGTCGCCTCTCCCGTCGAGCAGGTGGCGCAGAGAGCGGGCCAGCATCCGGCCCCCTCCCTCTTACTCTCTAGAGGAGCTAGGAGGAGAGAAAAGTGGGGAGGGGGGGGCTGATGGGTGTGGGAGGGGGACACACACCCTGTTGCATGCCCAGCCCTTCAGGTCTGTCCCCCACCCACCCCGTCTCCTCCCACCCACCCCCTCGGCTGCCAAACCACCCCAGAGCTTAAAAGATTAAAGGAAAGCTCCCTTGGCCTCAGACAGGCTGGCGCAGCTGCCCGCCCTCCCTGTGACAGCACAAGCAAGGGGTGCCCTCAAAAAGCACCACCAATTTCTGCAGGATCCCTGCAAAGCTGCCCCCCCCAGCCCCGAAATCTTCACAGATGCCTGCCAATGCTGTTTCTCTTCCAGCCACATCCTGTCCCTCCTCACCCCCCAGGAAACTCCACAAACTCTCGCCGGCTACCCAGGGAGAATCCATCTCTGTTGCCTTTTTCTCCTCCCCCCCCCCTTTCTCTCTCTCCCCCCCCCCTTGGGTCTCACCTGGGTGTTTGGAAAAGCCCCACCATGGGGTTGGCCAGCAGGAGCAGGAGCCCCCCCACCCCCGGGCAAGTGAGTGCCAGGAGTGGCTTTTGCCAGTCTTGCAGTGGCTTCGACTCCCTCACTTCAGCCTGGAGTGATGGGGGACACCCCCCCCCAAGGAAGGAGGGAGGGGAGGCAGGATGGAAAGTCCGGAAGTGGAGCAAACCCGGGAAGAGAGCCAGGGACAAACCGAATGGGAAACCTGGAGCAGAGCCGGTTGGGAACGGAGCCAGGAAACTGGGGGCCGAGGTGGAGAGTAGAAAACCCGGGACTGGATTCCACCCCAAGGTCTGGAGCCGGAGGCCGGGAGTGTCGGCCCGCGGGCATCCTAAGGGCAAAACACGGAACTGGAACAGGGTTATCTGGAATGGGATCCAGAGTGGCACCCCAAGGTGCCCAAGTGTAGAAGCGGTGGAGTGTTTACACAGGAGAAAAACCCGAGGTGGCAGCAACAGGAAGTTTGGGCAAAGTGGGTCAACGGTCTTAAGCCTCAGGCGAGGCCTGGTTCGGGAGGGGTTGTGCAAAACTTTGAGAGAGGCGGAAACGAGGGCGCCAAGAGGGGGGGGCGCGAACCCGGAGAGAAAGAAAACCTGGACCGAAATGGCAGAAGGAGCAGCCGCCTTCCGCCTGTGCAAGCACAAAAGCCGAAGACAGACAAAAATGTGGTAGCCCCTGAAAGACTAAACGTTTTGTTATTTTTAATGCAAGCTTTTGTGGACTGAAAGGGTTGCCTCTCTTAGGGACCCCAAAAGGGTTCCTCCAGATGGGATGCAAAAAAAAAAAAAAAAGACTTGGAGGATCACCTCCCGAATCTTGAACAGGGCCCGGCTTGTCCACCTGACTAGAAAGGTCCCTCCCCTGGTGGATCTCTGGGCACCCACGGGCCAGTCTCCAAGGGACCCCAAAAGGGTTCCTCCAGATGGGGTGCAAAAAGACACAAAACTTGCAGGGTCACCTCCCGAGTCTTGAACAGGGCCCCGACTTGTCCTGCCCTGACCAGAAAGGCCCCGCCACCCACCTTAAACACCGCATGCCCCCCACCAGTGGGTCTCTGGGCACCCACGGGCCAGTCTCGGCTTCAATGCCATGGAATTAAGCAGAACTCTGCAGCTGTAAAAAAAAAAGTAATTTAAAAAAAGCTGTCCTCTATTCTTCTCTCCTGCAGCGCTAGAGCAGAAAAAGCTGGTCAGCTTCCAGGGTCGAACAGGACGCTTCTTCAGATAGGGCACTGCAGAGCTTGGGAGCAAGGCTCGGGGAACCCAGCAGCCCAAAGCTCCGGCTTAAGACGCAGCTCCTTCCGTCGGCTCCAGGTATTCGATGTCTCCTCCTGGGGTCATCTCAGGCATCATCCTTGCCCATCTCGGTTGACATGGGGTTACCAGTCCCTGGCGGGCGGGCGTCACTCTGCAACCGGAGCCAGGAGCGGGCTGCTCTGTTTACACCAATCCTCCACCTCCTCCCTTCCCCCAGCGCAGAACTTGGACCCGGGCCTCCTCCCTGGGGCTCCGCTTCGCTCCCACCGGAGGAAAGAGCACAATGGGGGGGCTGGAAACCCAGTTTCCTGTCTCCAGGAAGGGGCTGCGTCACAGGCACAGCTTCTACAGCCCCCCCTTCCTCATTCAAGGCGGACAACTCTGCCCTATATTTCCCCAAACCACCTGCAATTTTTTTTTCAACAGGCATGAATTCCACAGGTGCAGCTCCCCCATGGAGGAGACACAGTACCTCTTTTCCATTTGAATTCCTGTCTGACCAACCAGACTGTCCTCGGGAGGCAGAAAAATACCGAGGAAGAGAGAGATAAACGCCCTGGGGGTCTGAAAGTTTTCTCAGGCAGAACAGAACGCAGGCTCCGAAGCAGTTCCTAACACCCTGTTTCCCCTAAAATAAGACCTAACCTGAAAATAAGCCCTAGTAGGGTTTTGCAAGATGCTCGTAATATAAACCCTACTCCAAAAATAAGCCCTAGTTAAGTGAAACCCCGCCTTTCACCCTTGTGCAGCCACCAGATGATGACATATCTGTATTTGAATAAATGTGGTGGCGCTGTGGGCTAAACGGTAGAAGCCTTTGTGTGCTGCAGGGTCAGAAGACCAGCAGTCGTAAGATCGAATCCACGCGACGGAGTGAGCTCCTCGCCAACCTAGCAGTTCGAAAGCATGCAAATGCGAGTAAATAGGTACCACTTCGGTGGGAAGGTAAAACGGCGTTCCCTAGTCACGCTGGCCACGGAAACTGTCTTCGGACAAGCGCTGGCTCTACGGCTTGAAAATGGGATGAGCACCGCCCCCTAGAGTCGGGGCTAGACTAAAAATGTCAAGGGGAACCTTTTACCTTTTAGATGGTTGTACGCAACAAAAATAAAACATCCCCTGAAAAATAAGCCCTAATGCGGTTTTTGGGGAAAAAATTAATAGGAGACCCTGTCTTATTTTCAGGGAAACAGGGTATGTTGGTCCCATTACAGTAAAAAAAAGAGTAGTAGGAATCATTTATAGCCTGCATCCCATGGGCCTCCGTTATCTGGAAAGCAGCTGTCACCGTTCTATAGACAAAAATAAAAACCCACACTTGCTGAGAGAAGCTTGGAGCCACTCAAATAGCAAAAACAGGAAGACAAAATGCAGTTAAAGAGAAGGGACTGGACTGGCTCTGGGATCCATGTGGTCCGGGCGTCGTCACCAAATGAGCCTTGGAGGATCTGAACCCCCTTCGCTCTTGGCTGTGGGACAACCCAAATAACTATCTTGACCAACAGAGAAACCCGTTTCTTGTCCCAGATCCCCAGGAACCCTTTTGATTTTGCTGAAGTAACGGCCCCTCAGCCAGGAAAAGGGGAGAACCCCAAGCACACCTGCCTCCAAAGTCTGAGCCACCGGTGTGTCTTGCTAGACTCATGGAAGAGGAACGCACCCGGCCATCAGCCGCTCGGGTGCAAAATTCTAAAGCTAGCAGACGAAAAATGCGTCTCTCTCTTTTAGACCCCCCCCAGGTTACTCAACCCCCTCAGCCAAAGGACCGTCGGCCTCTCTGAGACCAGTTTTGATCATTCAAAGGCTTTTTGGCTAAGACATGAGCGGGTGGCCCCGGGGCCTTTCCACGCTAATGCTGTGCCCCTTTGACATGAAACCTCCCACAGAGAGGGCGGGTGTGTCTGAAGATCCCTGCAGCACCCAGACACGGCAAGGCGGAGGCAGCGGGCCATCCGGAAGGTCTTTGGAGAATCCCTTGTGACCCATGACCCAGGCAGAGAGCTAACCGAGGGAAGAAACCACGCAGGGGGGTTCTAGCTCTGACTTTTCCTCTTGCGTCTGCATGCCCCTCTCCGAGTCTACCAACCTCCCCAGATCTAGGTGGCGTGAGAGAATGACCCCACGAACAGCAAAAGATCAAGACAGAATGGGCTGAAAACAGAACTTTTATTTGCATATGAACCATCTACTTCTTCTTTGAGACCCCCACGGTTCTGCCACGTCGGCCGGTGGTCTTGGTGTGCTGGCCACGGACTCGGAGGCTGCAAGGGGGGGCAGGGGAAGAGAAGAACAGGCAATGGCAAATCAGGAAGGCAGGAGAGAAGACAAGCCCGCATTCCCCACCCTTTTCATTCACACCCACAATCCTCTATCCCTTCTGCAACCCTTTGCATATGAACCATCTACTTCTTCTTTGAGACCCCCACGGTTCTGCCACGTCGGCCGGTGGTCTTGGTGTGCTGGCCACGGACTCGGAGGCTGCAAGGGGGGGCAGGGGAAGAGAAGAACAAGCAATGGCAAGTCAGCAAGGCAGGAGAGAAGACAAGCCCCCTGGACCATTCATGCCACACCCCCATTCCCCACCCTTTTCATTCTTCCTCCACCTTCTGCAGCCCCCCCCCCAGCGTGGAATCCTTCTCTCTCCCCCGCTGGTTCTTCTAGTTCACCCACAAGGCGGCATCTGACCCAATTTGCAGGAACTGAGCCGTAAGCAGGTCTTCCTTCACTTCTCCCCCTTCAACCTTGGCACCTCTTCTAAATCCCTCTCTGTTCCCAAGCCCCTCTTGGCACCTCACCCCGACTCTCCCTGAGACTCACCCCCAGAAGTGTCGGAGGCCACGATGGGCACGGATCTTCTTCAGGCGCTCCAAGTCCTCGCGGAGCTTGTTGTCGAGGCCGTTGGCCAAGACCTGAAAGGAGAGTTAAGCCTTCAGGATAAGAAACTGTCTCTCTCCCCCGCCCCACGGTCATGGGGCATCCCTTTCTCCAAACGGAGCCTCTGGACCCACGGGACTAGGAAAGTAAGTCTTCTATTCCCACGTCTCCTCAAGAGGTTTTGCTGGAAGAGAGGTGTGGGTTAAAAAGACTTCCTTTCCTAGTCTCGTGGGTCCAGAGGCTCCACTTCCCCACACCTGCCCCCAATGTCCTTGGCCTGCTTGGCTTTCAGACCTTCCAACCTGCTCTGTCATCCTTGCGGAGTTCCTCATGATGCCCTGAGGGCCTCCCCCCTCCCCCTCGCTTCTCCAGCCCCAGGGAGGAACTATCCTCCACACCCAATGCCGGAGAGGGGCCTGCCAGCTCACCTGGCTGTACTTTCCGTCCTTGACATCCTTCTGCCTGTTGAGGAACCAGTCTGGGATCTTATACTGCCGGGGATTCTGCATGATGGTGATCACACGCTCCACCTAAATGGGACGAAAAAGGGCAGGGAGGGGAGAGCACAGCCGTCAGCCCTCCCGAACAGCGTTCCTCACTCAATAACAGGATCCAAAAAGGACAGATTCTGGTTGCTATCAAGAAACTGTCCCCTCTTTTTCTGGCAGGGAAGGTGAAACGAAGTTCAGGACGAACCCCACTTCCTAGATACTTGAAATATTTCTTGTGAAGTTGTTTCAAGAGATATTTGGACAGAGACCTCGCAACTTTTATGCTACTGCCTTAATATTAAAAGTTTTTGCTCCCTCCCCTCCAAAAAAGCAAAAAGCAGTCCAAGCCATAAAAAGTTATTTTGGCAGCTCTACAAACCAGCTAAGGACACACTCTCTTTCCAAATTAAGGGCAGGAACAAAGCACGCTGGAAATCAAAGATTATGGGCTGTCAATTATGATGTTGTCCATAACAACCTATCACAGTTTGGCCTGGCGAGGAGATGAAAGGTGAGCCAGGTGGGTTCGTCGCTGTGGCAAGGGTGAGGAGAAGGGGCTGAGGGTGGGCCACAAGACCACCGTTAAATGGTGCCACGCAGGCGGGACCAGCCAGCTCACACATCCAGACCCTAGTGGAGGAGGAGGAGGAGGAAAGGAAGATCCGCAAACCCCCCCCCCATCTTCAGTGAAGCTGCTCTCCTCACCTCATCTTCTGTGAGTTCGCCGGCCCTCTTGGTCAGATCGATGTCCGCTTTCCTCAGCACCACGTGGGCATAGCGCCTGCCCACGCCCTGCGGGAGGGAGAAGGGAGACACGGTCAGGCGAGGAGGAACAAAACTGGGCAGCTCACCAGAAATGCTGCTCAGCCTTCAAAATGTCAAATAAATAAACAAAACAAAACATTTCAAGATGCTCTGCATGACTGCAAACCATTGCCCGCCGGTCTCAAAGAGGCATCTCTTTGCTCCACCTCTGTAGGTGTGGGTTTGTCAGGGGTGTGTGTGTGAATCCCAGAATGGAGAATCATGGGATCCGTAGTCCAAAAAACACCGCCCATCGCATGCCTTCTCACGGTTCCAATGCCATGGAAAGTCAGCCCATCTCCACTGGCCCCGGAAAGGCCTCCTCCTCACTCCCACTTCCAAGTGAGGCCAGAGGGGGAGACCCAGCAGGCTAGTTCCCCCCCCCAGCCACCCCCCACTAGTGCCCGGTTCGGTCACCCCACTTCCTCACAGACCTTGATAGCCGTGATGGCGAAGGCGATCTTCCGCCGCCCATCAATGTTGGTGTTGAGAACACGCAAGATGTGCTGGAACTTCTCTGGGATCACAAGAGACTTTTGGGGGGGCAGGAGTGGCGGGAGGGGAAGCAAAGAGAAAAGCAGAAATTTAGTAAGAACCAGGAATGGAGGGGGGGGGGAAATATCGCCGATTCGTACTCCCGCTGACTATCTTTGGCTCGAGCCTTCTATAAAGCCCTCCCCTGAAAGGCCAAGAGGGCCTGTCTCTTTTTTGGCCTTCCCTGCCTAGGGAAGCTGCTGCCAGAAAGGACTGCCGGCCCCAGCAGGACCAAGTGACCCTCCTGTCCAAACACGTACACACAGGCAAACAGGCTAACTCTCTTCACCCCACAGGACAAGCAAGGAAGGCAGGGAGACCATTTAAATCAGGAGAGAGAAAAGGATTCCGTTTGAATTCCTCACACTGCCAAGCCAGACCAACAAATCCACTTTTGCGGGTCGACGGAACTCCTTGACTCATGAGGTTAGGCTGGCCTCTGGCTTATGGTCCTTGCACAACAGCTGATAATCTTTTCTTGAGGGACTGGATTTTCATCTCCGAAGACCCTTGTAGCATTATTACTTTCACCATGTGGTGCAGCCTGGGTTTTAAGCGCATTTCTTTTAACTCATTATCTTTTAAAAACCTTTTAGAATGCATTCTATTTGACTGACTTATTCCGCTTTTATATCGACTTATTAATCCAAAGTACTATTCCGGGCAGTGAACAAATAAAATCAAACAAGAAATAACAATGAATTAAGCAATAACAAAGATAAAAAGGAAAAAAATCAACTCCAGCATCGCAAACACAGGAAACAACAACCCCATTAACAGGGAGGGCATTTTGACAGAAAAATAAGATCATTTACTATTAAGGTCTTCATTTATTGTCCTTTCAAAAGTGCATTTTTCTAAACTGCATTTTCCCTGCAAGAAAACTATAAGTCAGGTGATTTTTTTTTTTAAAAAAAATAAGTATTTGAAGGCAGAAGATTCGCACTCATGACTGTATGGCCCACTAAGCTGGTTCTGGAGCCCATCCTAGGTCATCACAGGCGGGGATCCTAAAAGCCACCTGCAGGATCACTTCTCAAGCACTCTTCACACCCCCAATCCGATGCAGAAAGGCTTTTACCAAAAAAAATCAGCTGACATCCCAGCCTTCGATGCAGAAAGGCTTTTACCAAAAAAAAAATCAGCTGACATCCCAGCCCTTTTTATCAGCCACCCACCCACCGCCTCAGTTTCCCTACCCTCGCACTGGGAGCCTCTGACTTAATGGAGCTGAGGAACTCCCACAAGGTCTTGTCATAAGCATCTCAGCTGAGCTCATCTGCAAACTCACTGTTGTGGCTTCCTTTAGGGACTTAGTCCATCTCACATTTGGTCTTCTTTCCCTGCTGCATTCGACTTTTTCCCCTAGGGTGCCCCATATTCTCCCAAACTGATTTTTTTTTTTTTTGCACTTTGTCAAGATGGCAAGGTAAGCCAGTACTGCTTGGGTGTGTGTGTGACCATCTAAAAGGCCTTTTAAAAGTACCCACTGTTAGCTCCCAGGATGGGAAAAACAAATGATTTCTTTGCAACCACCTACTCAGAGTCCTACTCTGGCAAAGCTAGCCTACCTTGCAGGGTCGTTGTGAAGACCTACAAGAGTAATAAATCGATATGTAAGAAGCAACCAAGAAACCTTAATTAAAGCTTTTTTTCCAGCATTTCCAGTATCTATCCCCTAGGATCCTCCACAAACTCTCAAGGAATATTTGGAGCAACTACTTAAAATGTATTTATTCATTATACATTTACTGTACTACCCTTTTCAACATTTGCCTGTTAAACTTTAGTTTTTGAATATCTAATTATTTCAATAATTTAATTTACACCCATTAACCTCTATTTTTCCTGCGATTTATTTTAATAGCAAGCTGCCCTGAACCCCTTTTTTATTCTTGCAATACTTTTAATAGCTTATGATTCATTCCCACCTGCATTCTTATACCTCCCTTATCCCTCTAAAAGGTTTCCGTTTAAAGTAAACAGTAATTCCAGCAACGATTGCCGAATTACGTTCCGTCTGGGAGTGGAATACAATCATACAACATAAACAACCTCGAAATGGATTATTTTTATTTTGCAAAACAGACGCGCCATTGATTGCAGTGCAATGATCGGGCGCCCCATAGAAAAAGGGGTCCCCCCTCCAAAAGACCAGCCCCCCTTCCCGGCCTCAATAACCCCCCGACGATGGAGCCCAGGCGGTGCCCTCCAAGCCGAGCCGCCCCTTCGGCCCCCCAGCATGGCCCCCGCGAAGGATGGCGGAGGATTCCCGGTCCCCCCACCCCGCAAAGACCATCAGACTCACCATGGCGGCGACACCACCAGCACCTCCGCGCTCTTGCTCCTGCCGGAAAAAGGAAGTCGGATGGGCTGAGAGCCTCACTATAAGACCCTCCCACTGCAGGACGCTAACTTCCGGCAGAGACGGAACGGCCATCTTCTTTTCTATTGGATGGAAGGGGGCGGTCTCTGACGTCAGCCTGGAAAGTCGCTTCCGGTTTAGCCTGGACCCTATTCCCAGCTGGGTGACCATAGATGCAAAAATATAGTAGAGCCGCAATCTCAAGGCCTTGACAGAGGGAGGCGCGGGGGGTCTCGAGGGAGCTCAGCTTCTGAGAATTCAACTCCCAACGTACTGCGTCTGAGTCTATAATTTCTGTATCTATGGACATGTGGGGGGGGGCCGAAACCTACTTTGAGGGGGTGGTCGCGAGGCACTTCGGGACTTGTAGTGCGGTCCGCCGTTGTGCCTTAAGAGGGACCGGAAGTGGTCCTTCCGGGAGTCCCGGAAGTGGCGTAGTGGGGGCCGGGCGAAGCTCCATGGCAACCTCCGGCGGGTGTGAGCTGACGAGGAAGAAGAGGAAGAGCTGCGGCGGCACCGACAGCTCCGCTCGGGAGACATGGAGGAAGAGGAGGTGGGCGCGCCCAGGCCGGACGGGTTAGGCTCTCGGACTGGGTCCATTTCCGGTCCGTGGGGGGACCAACTTCCGGTATTTCCCCCCAAATGGGTCTGGGGAACCGAAGGGGGGCGTCGTCGGCCCGGTTTTGCCCTTTCCTGCCCCCCTTCTTGTGCGCAGCTGAGGAGGAGCCTCCGCCCTTCCCTAGAACCGGTTTTGTGGTGCAATGATACACCTGTTGGGTGTCTGCCTGCGTGCGCCCTATCCTAATCCCTTCCCAGGCCTTGAAGGGCTGCATATTCTCCATTTCCCCTTCAAGGGCTGCCTTGGGGGAATAAATGTCATTAGCAAAAGTTAGCAGCAGTTGCGGGGGGGAGGGGAAGAGAGAATGCAAGCTGCCCTGTTGGATTTCTGCCCACCCATCCTAGCCACTAAAAGCCTGTTTTAGGGGGCAGAAAATAGCATTAACAAAAGACAGACGGGAATACGGAGAAGATGCCAGTGTTGGATTTCTGCTTGTTTGCCCTGAGCCACTGGTTTCAATGCGGGCTTTAAGTAATTTAGAGGAATTGTGTAGATGCAAATATCAAGCATTATCGTTATGTTACATCTTTTTAAATTTATGGCAGCCCTGATAGTTTCCAAAGCAGACGAGACATTTACAGAAGGGGGGTTCCCTTCACTGCCCCCTCCCCTGTGCGTTTCCGTGGCTGAGTGGGGATTTGAACCCAGCTTTCCTGGGTTCCCTTCACTGCCCCCTCCCCTGTGCATTTCCGTGACTGAGTGGGGATTTGAATCCAGCTTTCCCGAGTCCTGCCGTCAGTCGCTGTATCCGCTCCACCACACAGTCTCTCACCAAGGATGAGAGTGAAAGGGTATCAGACGGGAATCTTGCACCCGTGGAGGTTTTCCCCTTTAAAAAGCTGCTTTAAACGTCCGTCTTGCCACTGAGTTGGTGTCGTTCCGCCCTGAGGTGTCGAAAGGTAGCAACTGCCAGAGAACAGAAGGGAGAAGCGGAAGATGCACCAGTTGAGCTTCTGCCTGTCTCCTGACACTCCTCTGTCACAAATTTGCCCTCCCCATTTCCCTTCGCCCTCACTTTCCCAAGTCCCTTCGGCCTGACCCCGCCGCTCCGTCTGCAAGGGGGTAATTCTGCGCCTGCTTCTTTTTAGGGCCCCGGTGAGGAGCCCCTGCAACTGAATTTACGGGAACTGGACCTGACCTCGGAGGAGTTCATCCTGGATGAAGTCCCTTCCCTTTCTCTCTACCTGTTCACAAGCTGTGTATATCTACTTGGTGTTTTGTTTTGGGGGGGTTAATAGAGCCCAGAAGAGGCTTTGAGAAGAAGACTGAGGAAGGAGGCATAGGAGAGCCTGACTTTGCCCCTCATCCCACCTTCGCTTAAGGGTCACAGCTTGGCCTCCTCGGACGATGAGGGTGCTTGGGAGCTGCCTTTGTGCTGGCGTACCTGTTCACAAGCTGTGTATATCTACTTGGTGTTTTGTTTTGGGGGGGTTAATAGAGCCCAGAAGAGGCTTTGAGAAGAAGACTGAGGAAGGAGGCATAGGAGAGCCTGACTTTGCCCCTCATCCCACCTTCGCTTAAGGGTCACAGCTTGGCCTCCTCGGACGATGAGGGTGCTTGGGAGCTGCCTTTGTGCTGGCGGCCACCCCAGAGATCACCAGAGGCCGTTCCTACAATTTCTCAAGCACTGGAGAGTATAAATGTATTTTTTTAAAAAAGCATTCCTAACCGTGAGGTTTTGGGACTTCTTGCCCTAGAAATCCCGTAGTTCTTTAATTCTGTGCCTTGCACAGTTACAGACGTCTCACTTGTTAGAGCTTGGAAATGGGGCAAGACAGCCCTGTGAGGCTACAGCATTTTCTAGATTCTTTATGTCGGAGGAGCTGTATGGAAGAGAATATTCCCCCCACCGTACCTGCAACTGATTCTTTTGTTTTCTCTCCCCCCCCCAGTCCACATTCAAGCAAACCTGGAGGATGCTCTGGTGCAGGAGGCCCTAAAGACGGTGAGTGAGTGGGTGGGTGGGGGTGGGAGGGAGGCCCCCGTGGGCTGGAGGTGGAGGTGGGATGTTATCCGGGACCCTCCTCTCATCTCCCCATCGGCGTCTTCTCTGCTTTCCTCGGACAGGGGGTGGATTTGAGGCAGTACTCCAAGCAGGTTGAGCGGGAGCTGCAGCAGATTGAGAACGCCTCCATCAAGGATTGTATCCTCATCTGGGACCGACGGGGGTAGCTGGTGGGGGCTAGGCTGGGCTGAGACCCTAAAAGACAGGCTGTTTCGGGGCAGGGTGGGAGGTGGCACTCCCCTTGAATGGGGGGGAGGAGAGTGCACCCCCCGCTGTTGCTTACGCTTCTTCCCCGCACGGCCAGTTTTCCTTAGTCCCAACCCAGACATCAAGGAAAGCAAGAACATCGCCTCCTTGCATACGCAGATCACGGCCTGCGATGCCGTCCTGGAGGTAAGGCGATGCGCCCTCCCCCTCGGGAGGTACTCTTCCCCCCCCGCCCCCTTCCATGCAGTTGGCAGGGTTAGGGTCACCCTGCCAGGTGGGGGAGTTCCCTGCAAGCACCCTAGGAGTGAGGGGGGTAGTACTGGGGCTCAACTTCCTCACCCACAAGTCCTTCAAGGACTTGAAGAGGCCAAGCCCCTGAGCTGGGGAGAGGGGTTTTGGGGAGGGGGAGGTTAGGGTTTTGCCCCAGACATCCCAGCTCATGCAGTTGGCAGGGTTAGGGTCACCCTGGAAGGTGGGGGAGTTCCCTGCAAACACCTTAGGAGTGAGGGGGGGTAGAACTGGGGCTCAACCTCCTCACCCACAAGTCCTTCAAGGAACGCCCTGCCCTGCTCAGAGGTCATCCTCCAGACCTTGGTAGGGTTTTCCCTGCCTCTCCGTTTGGCTCCTCCTAGCTGATATGGCCCCCCACAAAGTCTCCAGGATAACTCATGATAACCAGAGCAAGGGGACGGCCTCCGCCCCAGCTTAGCCTGTGGCTCTCCTTGATGCTTATGTCTCACGTGGCCTCTTCTACGTGTTCTCTCTGTCTTCCTCCCCCAAGATCCTCTCCATTTTCAAGAGAGCCCCCCTTCCTCTCAACGGTGTGCATGCAACACCCA